GTGAATTGTTCACACCATTATAAGCCTTAATAAATTTATTTTAGGAGCAATCTTGAAACGGTTTGCTGTAGTTAATAACACAACTCAAAGACATTTTTGCTTTAATTAAGAAGACTACCACAGTTAAGTCAATACTTCAGTAAACCAGAATTCAGTAAACTTTGACGTGAGCCCCATTAGTAGCAAGCAGAACATCAAGGCGTTAGATGATTTCATTCCAAACATTAAGAAGCAGAGTTCTCTGAAATTTAGTATTGGGAGTTATACTAAAATTTGTCAACACATTCCAATTTGGTTGAATTCATACAACTGTAAGAACTTTACATGAAGACCTACATGTATTTCTATGATCAGAAGCTTGGGAAATTGCCAACAAACTATGCAACTATTTGGGGAATCCTTCATGATGATACCATCACCCAACCAGACAAGTGCTAGACATTCTCCATATAACTGGTTTCATGTGTGCCATTAATAAAAGTCAAATTCTGTAGAAATGTCTGAATTGTTATAATGTGCATCATTTCATGACTTGTTAACTCTCGGTCCAGAAAAAAGTTTGGTTTTATAAATATGTGTTGTTCTCTGGGAACTTGGTTGTCTTAAACTACTCTACTTCTGTTCACATTACCCTAATAGTCTTGGTAACAAAATATTAAATTGGTTGTTATCCATTAGGACATGCATTTTGCTTCAAAATACAGAATATACTGAAATTAATGAATGATTTGAAGGGTGTGTAATAATTTATAACACATGAAAAATTAATGTACAGTAAAACCCCTCTAGTTGGACACCCCTATATCCCGGACACCCCTCTATATTGGACACTTTTAATTGGAACCGGCGAATATCCTATAATTTTACATGTCCACAACACCCTATATCTTGGACACCCCTTTATCCTGGAACTTGGTCACCCCTTTTGTTGTAAGTTGGACAGGTGCATGCATGCACTTAGCTTCAATGCTTTTATGGGAAACATTTACAGTTAGTGTTTTGTTGTTTTGAATTTCTGACGGATGAATGCCTTCTCCCTGAGGATTAGCTTATGGTTGAGGGTGTGAGACATTGGAATGCAGTGAAAGTGAATGGTTATTCTTTTGTTAAACCCCTCACTGGAGTTTTAACTTTGTCAGTACTGTACTTGCAACTGAGTTAAACAGTGTTAACAGAAATTGGAACGGTATGCGTTCGCTCATAAACAACCAGGAGTGGTTGAAACATTATTTGGATTGCGGTGAAAATTAGAAAGAGGATGGCAAATTCCAAGATAAAAGCAAAAAAGCAGTGTCTTGTGACGGGTTTCTTCACAACAAATAAGTGACATCTTATGTTGAGCTTAAAAAAATACATTCTGAACATTTAAAATTTTATTGAGGCTGGGGTGTAATGTGCAACCATGAGAGTGGGTTTCAAAAGATTATTATTATTATTGTAATTAATTCTTAATTCGAGCAAGCCTACAGTAGTTAGATTATGTAAAATAGATTACATTGTCGGTAAACGTAAAGTATTGGTGCAAGTTTAATTTAGTGAAAACAAAATTTGTAAAAATTCAATTTACACTTTTGATTTTTCTTATCAGCAATTTCCTTTTTTTGGGAAGGGCTCCATAATACTCTACAATTACCACATTGTCATTACACCACAATTTGAAAGGATGATTTCCCCTTTCCCTCTATCCTGGACACCTCTGTAAGTTGGACACATTATCGTGGAACCGCAAGTGTCCAAGTTAGAGAGGTTTTACTGTACTACAAAACAATCACATAGCATTGGAGTTTTGTAACAAGTGGCCATAGAAGTTCTTATATAACATTTTCATATGTGTTATAAATAAACAATAACACTTCAAATTGCTCACTAATGTATGGACAACCTATATGTCAAATAAGTTATAGGTCTTAACAAGGTAAACATCACATCTTGTATATATTTTTTTATATAGTAACAATTTTTAACATACATTATTAAGTTAGATATGACTGTAGATGATGCCTGTGTATTCGTAATTGTATGTTGCCAGTGTTTTTATAAGTCTAGAGAAGTGTTTATTCACATTACTAGTTACTATAAGAAAGATATAATGGGCTTGAGTGCAAAATACAAGTGGCCTCTTATGCTGTATACTATTGAATTCATTAGTTATGTGGTGTTTTTCTTTATAAACCTTCTTATTATTTGATTTTTTCCCCTCCCACCCCACACTTCAGACTGTAATGAGAGTTATATATCTTTACCATGAAAATAGAGGCAGTATGTGTCTGAAATGATGGTAACCACCCACAAGACTCCACAGTGGTACAACAATCAACATTTTCATTTACATGCTTATAGTTTTGAGTTGTTTATTTTTATCTCACGTGCAGAGTTATTTCCACATGCAGTTTTATCTCTGGGTTTTCTTTACTTGTGCTGTCAGTAGCATTGTTGGCTCAGAACTTGAAAGTGTGTTACATGTGTACTTTTTTGTCCTTAATAAAGGAAAGTAAGCTGAAAATATTTTGTTAGTTCAGTGAAATTCATCTCACTCTTTTCAGGTCCATAGTTTGACCACTTCTTATATCTGCCAGGCACTTAATATCGTCCACTGTTCTCATACTATGCAAGTCATTTAGGATCTTTTGCAGAAAGATGGCCACAGAAGAAACTAAATTAATTTGGTCTTCAGAAGGTAAGAAACTGCATCCTCACCGTGCAAAAATATAGAAACTTAACCAAGGTGCTTCAAGTATTAAAAATAGTATGTTATTTTATGGGCTTTTATTTATAATGGCACCACTTGTACAGAGTCAAATTTTCTGTGTCTGTCTTTTCAGACTGGCATATAATGTAGTTAGTTGTTCTATAAGGTTGTAGTGAAAACAAAGTCATGTAGTCACTCTTTAGTTGGTATTTTATGTTTGTTTTAATATTGTATTCTCTTTTTGATGTGTCATTGTCCTGCTGTCTGTACATAACATGTTCCTGATATTTTTCTTCTGGGCAGTAATGTGTGTGGTCGTTCACAGTTTTTTAATATCGTTTTTAAAATTAACTCTTTATCTCTGCTGTGTTAGATATTTTGCATCCAAGGCATGCTTACTCCTTCGAAATGTGTGACACATGCCAATTTGCAGTACATGTAATTTCATTGTATGCAATTTTACATCCCTTATTGGACTTGATGCTCATACACTACATATATGTATCATTTGTTGAAAGATAATCAGTAATATGGATAAATACCATTGCATTTTTTTAACATTCACCATATTGAGAACAGTCTAAAATAAAAGTTGTGTGTCTTGATGACATCCACTTTTTATGTCTTCCACAAAATTTTTTAATTATTTATGGCTGCAGGTTACATAGATGTATTGGATTTCTACAGGCCAAATTAAAATTTTCCAAACTTTTATTTTAAGACCCTAGCAACAAACATTACTGAAGTCTGCTGAGTACGTTTAGGCATGGAATGTGGTAGGTATGGCCTATAGTACGTGTGTTTCATGAATTTTTGCATGAGCATTTTATAATCATAATTTTGAAAGTGTATTTTTGTAGTCTTGTATGTGGGAATTTATGAGTTGTTTTATTTACCAAATTTAAATTTTATTTTATCATTTTGTTGTGCCATGTGTAATGCTTAATGTGGAACCACATGCTTTGCCTTTATCCTGGTTTTCTTGATACTCTCCATGAGTACTTTGCATAAATTGTAATTTGTTGTACATGACTGTGATCTGTACCCTGATTTCATGTACAAGGAATCATCATTTTGTATTTCAAGCTACAATCTGTATTCCAAATAAATTTATAACATGCATTGATAGTGATAACAAAAGCTATATTTTGTACTCGAGTAACAATTAGTAATAGAACTGGTTTCATCCATCTTAACATCTTCTCAGTCTTCCAAGGTGTTTCCAAATCAGAATTTTACATGCATGCCTTGTTTCCCCGTAAAACTACATATCCAGCCCATTGCAACCTCCTTGATCTGTTGTGTCATCACAGCTGTTTTTGTAATTACCTAAAATCAGTCTACATTAAATTAATCAAGCATTCATTACCTAAGAGTTTGTAATTATTGATTTCTAAACATTATTTCACAAGTTATATGAATGTTTAGTGACACTGCACCTCATGTCGGTCATGAGGCACTGCAAATAAAGATTGGGTCTCAGACCTCGTACAACTGGCATAGGTTCACACTTGATTAGATGTAAATGTCAGTATTACTCTGTTTTAAACTTTATACTGAATAAATTATTTTAAATGTGTTGGTTATTCATGGGGCAGATAATGTAAGTCTTTTACCACATAAACAGTTGTCAGATTTCAATAAGAATTTTGATAAATCACATCCTTTGATTAAAGAAAACTGATGTTAACTGATGCATAATCGATAAACTGTACGTCACAGAGTGACATCCTTCGATCATAAGCAAACAAGTTTTCAGATTTGTTTTGCATTTGTGTTTGAATAGAAAAGTATAAAAGCACATATGTGAAAAGCTTAGATGACAAATGCTTTATGCCTTACAGATATCCTGTCTTTGCAATATCTGACTTATAACTTGCAGTAGAGTATATCAAACTTGTATCTAATAGTACATGTGCTCGTCTATCTTTTAATATATAACATTGCTCTTATTTTAAAGATTTCTGTGAGACGTCTTTGAATCGTAGGAAATTATGGAAGGATGGCCACCGTCTTCCATGTGTAAACCTGAATTTATTATTAATGGTAGTGAGGACCTTTGAAATCATACAAGAACACAAAGAATACAGAAATGTCTATCCTTTCCAGTAGTCGAACTGAACTTTTTGACTGTAAGTAGCATGCTGGCATCAGAGGAAGTATAAATACACAAATTCTTTAGTTTTGATACTGTATTTCAAGTTGTCTGTTTAATTCATATTTCAGGCTCCTTAATTCCCCTGCAGATTTTAGAGAAATTCTGGTGGTGGAACTGGAACATGCCAAAAGTAAGTAGATAATGTTCTTTGATATTTTGAATTCGATTTATAGATATTTGAAAAATGATAAACATCAAACTTCATGTGAAATGCCCTTAAGTTATAAATGCTATGTATTCCAGTCTGTACGATGCAAAATGTACAGTAATTTTTATAGGCATCAGTACTAATACTGTAATAATAGTCTCCGACTCTATAAAATATAATTTTTGGATAATGCTGTAGTTGGGGTTGTTTCAAAACAGATTTGTTAATTGAATCAGTAATTTGTGAACCCACATGATTCCAGGAAAGTAACTTTTGAGAAAACAAAAAGAAAAATGATAGGAAACATTATTCTTGAATTTTCCTAAGAATAATTGGCAAGTATCTTTTTTATACAGTATAACCCATGGCATGTATAATTAGTTATTAAGTGAAATTTATTTTTGGACTCTTGGTTGTGTCCTTTGTCATTGCTGAGATGACATGTTTAACTTGTCATGGTTTCTTCATGGTGAGTCAGCCAAATTCATTTGGTAATAAAATGAGTTTAGAAATTGTTTAAAGATACCAGAGAGAAAAGAAAAAACAAACAAATATAGTCAAGAAAAAAATATTTTTACTGATCTGTTTAAACACAAACGTTATAATACTGCGAAATATAAACAACAATACTGAACTAAACTGTGTCACAACACACCGTGAGGGTTTGATGACCAGCCATATCGCCGTGTTTTAGACTTTCGTGACCAGCGTCCGCTACCCTTTCACAAGTAGCTCCTCATTTCACATCCTTTTTTTGTAAAAATATATAAAAGTAAAGCTGTCCCACTATACGCCATATAGGCGCTTGGGGGGAGTGGAGGTATAGCTCCTCTCTTCCTTGACCTCGGCACTAGATGGGGGTGAGTGGTTAGCATAACGCCCCGGCCGGCTTTACCCCCGAGAAAGGATCCCGGTACCCATTGTAGAGGAGGCTGTAGAGCCGGTCTGGACGCAGAGGCTAGAGGAAAACGGCGCACCGGGGCTCCGATCGATAAGGCTGGTCTCCCGACTTAGTTTACTCATTGCGGCGCGGTTTAATATTTTCTTATCTCAATTAAGTAAGAGGACCCCGATTTATTCTTGCACCTGGGCCTCAAGTACCTTTGCATGACCCTAATATTTATAATTGTAATTTTTACATAGTAAAATTCGTGTTTTTTTACTTTTTGTCAAAATTAACTTCTGCGGACGCCTGTGCTAAGTACGGCCCTGATGGTAGAAGTAGCTCAAAGCTTATAAAAAGTTTATGTTAAACTTGTTATTTACTAAATTAATAATTTCCGTTTTAAAAGGACATAAAATGTGGATTTTATTAATATATACAACTTATATTTGAAACTTTTTTAATGCAGCTTATATTTAACGAAGTACAGTGGGAGATTAAAACGATGTAAACCTAACCTAACCTAACTTTGCATTTTAGTAGAGCCACAAGAGTTAAGACGACGATAGGAAATGTAATCTTTTATGTAATGTCTAAGAAAATCACCGCTACCAAAAATGCCCTGATTTGAGTTTGACATGTTTAAGGAAACACAGGGGATAGATATTGCATTCCGCTGTTCGTGTTTAGATTTCTGAAAAGGTAATTTTATTTTGCTTATCATTATATATTTTACGCTCTTTTCGCCATATTTGTTCAGCTCGAGATGGATAGGCAAACGAAACAAAGTAATTTGTATTTGCATTAATTAACATCAAGACTAGGGAAGAGTGTAGAATAGTAAAGAAGTTATTTTAGATATTAACCGGAATGCACGTTTTGACTTTTCTGGAATATGCTGAATGTTCTCTCAACTGCTGAGGTTAAACAGGGCTCATGACTGTCAAGAACGAAAATTATTTGTTTTGCAGAATATTACATTGATTATCGTTTTGAAATTCGTAATTCGAGTCACATTGCTTTGCTAGTGTATGTTTATTTACTTTCTTGTGTAAATATTTGCGTGATATACAAGAAGTAACGAGATCGTAAACCAATCGATCTCTTGGTTAAAATGGATGCGTTTTACATGGGCTATAACCAACTAAGTTCGGAAAAGTTACTATGTATGTATGTCTCAGATGACGTAGAGATGATAACAGTGGTGTAAAGGTGTTGGAATACGACCTGTTTTTTTTCAATTCGTTCTTTCCATAACCGTATTTATTATGCGTGTGAACAGAAGTTTATTATCTGGAAGCTAGTGAAATGCTATTGATATTACACAATAGGCTTAGGCTGTTCTTTGGTTTGTATTTTGTTCACAATTATGCCTAAAGAAAAATACAAGATGAAAGTGGCAAACATTATTTGCGTATTTTATGTTACGTGTCAATTTTTGTGCGATGAGTAGTTTTTCGTTCGACCTTGGAAGAATACGAATGAATACTAACATTTTCCTACAGATAGCTTTTAGTGCAGACAGCAATACTGAATTTTGTTCGCGTACGTTAAATAAAACAGCCACGGTGGTCTAGCGGTTAGAACGCTGGCCTTGTAATCCTGTGGTCTCGGGTTCGATTCCCGGCGGTGCCCGAATTTATAACTTGTGGGCAAGGCCGTGGTCTAGGCAACACGGAGTTTTCCTCCGGGGGCTTCCCCGGTTTCTCCGTGGCATCCCAACAATTACTCCATTCACACACAGAAGAAGGCAATGGCAAACCACCTCTGGATCATCTGCCAAGAACGTATATGAACAGGTACCAGTC